CCAAGGAGAAAACTGCCAAGCTCATCCCAAATGCCATCCAGATCAGCACTGACAATGAGAAGGTCAGACTTTAGCACAAATAATATTGGACCCCATTGAAGACCTTTTCAAAATAACTAAAGGCCATCAATTTTAATCTCTTATGAGTCAATACTTTCTCTGTTCGTTACAGCTGCAGTTAACTGCTGCTAAAAAAGTGTGATATCTGTCAGCTGTTGATGCTGTTTACTTCAAATGGTCATGTTTTTTGCCTGTAAAGCAGTATGAAATGAGCTTTTTCACCACTGACTGTGGCAAAGCAAACATCCCAACAGAGGGAGATCATATGTCAAATCCACTGTCACATTTTTCTTTTGTCTTCCTTCCTGTCCCCCACTCCCACCTCCTGTCTCTCTCTCTCTCACTGATATTTACCCCTCAGCATTTCTTCACATCTTTCGGAGCAAGGGATCGTAGCTTTATGCTGATTTTCCGTCTGTGGCAGAATGCACTTTTGGACAAGGTACAGCCTCCTCTCACACACTCCTGGAGTTCTCTGCCGCTGCCTTGTGTGGCAGGACTAGTAGTTAATATCTTAGAATAGAACACAGTGTCAAGAAACAGGAGATGGCTGCATAAACAGACTTGGGAGAACAATTTAAAACACTGTTATTTGCTGAGTTTGAATGTAGACATTTGTGTGGACAGCATTGGTGCACAAACACAAGAGCTTAGTATTAAAGCACAGGGTAAGAGAAGGCAAGATGAAACTTCATGTTATAAGATGTTGACTCTGGATTGGTGTCTGGAATGGAATCAGTGTCACTGCCAAGAACTGTTATTAAAAGCTATATTATTAGTATTAGGATTAAACGTGTATGTCATCTGTCTGTTGTGAAGTCCAATTTCAAGAAATGACCAAAAATGTGCTCACTGATTATTAAGAATTTATTTATTTACTTAGATTATTCAGATAATCAGGTTGCCATTTCCTGAGTTGTTGGCTGCCCCTATTTATACTCCCATACTTAAGTGCCACTTCATTCATTGTTTATTTATACTCCCATACTTAAGTGCCACCTCATTCAATGTTGTCATCATTGTCGTCATCACAATTGATTGACATTCAAGAGGCAATTAGAATCAGTCATTGCTGTCTATATTGCCAAGTGAACAGAGGTGTCCCACACTAGTGAATACACCTCACTGTATTGTGCAGTCATGTTTAGCCACACTCAGTGCTTAATTTGTAAATTATGAGGTCCTGGAATTTCAATTGGTGACGGACCCAGCATGTCACTCTGGGGAGAGGAGATTCCAGAATGAAATAAATACGTCATTGACCGGTGCGAATATTACAGCAACAAATTAAAAGCACACCAGAGACTACATGATGCAGTACCGTTAAATAATCATGTTCTTACCTTCAGTTATTTAAAATGGCCCATAATGTAGTAATGGGGCTACAGAGTTGTGTAATGCATTATAGCAGTACATGATTTCAGTCATTTTAATCTGATCCTAAATATGTATAAATTTGTTTATTTTTACAGTCTCTGTCCCCCAAAGAGCTCTGGCACATTGTACACCAGTGTTATGGCACTGAACTGGGTCTCACTAGTGAAGACGACGACTATGTCTCCCCCACTGCTGAACACATGAACGGCCTACTGTAAGTATTCACGTGTAAAAACATGGTAACATATAGATCTGACAGTCTTATATCATTGATGGTTGTATGTATGCTTCATGTTTTATGAGCTAGTGTTTTTAATGTCAGCTACCGTAATAATTGCCTTAAATGCGTGGTGGGCCAAAGCTTTCCTACCCCTGTCGCTAAGTTCTTTAACAAAAATTTGGGTCATTTCTCTCAGTTTGACTTGCTCTCTACAGTATGTGTCTTTGTTTCACTCACTCTGTCTTCCTCTCCCTCTGTTCCCCAGGCCAGGAGATGAGTCGGTGTCGGTCACAGATCTACTAGACCTGAGCTCAGTGTCGGTTCCCTCCTTGGGCAGCTCTCCCCCTCCTCTGGTGCCCTGTGCTCCGGCCATCCCTTCCTCTACTACAAACCTTGGGAGCTCTTCTCCCCCTTCCTCTGCCTCCTGCCTCCCCATAGAGGTGCCTTCCTCATCTGGTCATATTCCCAGCACTGACCCCCTTGAACCCAGCCTGCCCATCTCGCTCAGCTCGCTACTATCCACCACTCCCACCAACACCTTTGCCTCTGCACCTACTTCTCCTACTGCCTCCTTTGTGAGTGTTCTTCTTTACATCTACACTTATTTGGGAAATAGCTTGTCTTCAGTGTAGTGCAGTGTCTGATTATACCAGAGGTAGGATAATATATATTTTTGTATTGCTTGCTGTGCTTCACCTGAGCAGCTTGTACAACCTGTAGTACTGGCATCGTTTGGCATAATAAAAAATACACATTATGTCAGTACAGCTTTGGACTGTCGGTAAGCAGTGGTTCAACTAAGTAAGCACTTCTGTTTCAATAATCAGAATAAGTACAGACAGAGCAGAAACACCCACTCACTAATTTATCTGCTGTTGCTGTTTGTGTTAGAAGACAGTCTGGTATTTGCAGACAGGTGGCTAACTAGCTTTAGCTACATCACAGGGATGGACTGAATAAACTCGATTCCACACGCTGCTCCATCTGCTCCCTGATGGATTCTCTTCCATGTAATGTCTGTGTTTTTGCAAGTAAACAATGGTGTCTGACAACCTATGATTCATGTTGCAGTTTATAAACAAAGGCAGCGTTAGTTGTGCTTAGCAATTTTTAGTACTACCATCTTTCAAACTGCAGCAATTCTTACATATGGAAAAATAATACATTAGATTAACATTTAAAAACACTAACGAGATAACTGGGACTTTGCTGTGTGCCATACTCCTCCCTGTCTTCCCTTGTTTCCTGGCTACCTCTTTATTTTCAGCGCTTCAGCAAGGGCAAAAATAATAATACAAACAAAAATAAACCAAAACAGAATAAAAGTTAAGTAAATATAACACAAATAGACAGAAATGCTAGACAAACAGGATGTATGAAAGTAAGAATGGGAGTTCAGTGTGTAGTTGTTCTGTTTGGCTCGATTTCCAGTGACTTCTGCTCAGAAGAGCTGCTGTTGTTGTTGTTTCCCCTGCAGTTTTGATCTTGATACAGATCAATCAGGTCCAAGCCAACCTACAGAGAATAAGTGGCGCACTGTGTTGACTGTATGTCGGTCCAGATTAATGGCATGCTTGCAGTGGTATGCTCCAGAGACTCTGTCAATACGAAGTCCACCGAGCAAAGCCCTCTTTGGTCTCAAGTCATATGACTGTGGAGTGATTTTTCCATACAGCTGTCCTCTGCTCTGCTTGTTTTCTCCCTCACTGCATCAGAACCTGGAAGAGGGTGGAGACAGCCAGTCTGAGTCAGCCATTCACATGCTGCCCCCACCAACCCCCAGTCTTGGAAACCTCTCCTCACTCGATATTACCAATGATGAGGATCTGCCCACTGACCCTAGCAACTCCTCTGACACCCAAGAGGAGAGTGAGTGCCATTTGAGTGACTACAAGAACCCAACTTTTAGTTGTATGACTATATTATGTTACAGCAGCCTTTTATTTGAACATTATTTATTTGTAATGGGTGGACTTTGTGGACTGTATGAATGTCATTTTCAGCTTTATCCCGTTAGGGGTCATCACAGCGAATTGTCACGCTGACGATTCGCATGTTGACACTTGACACGTGTTTTACACCAGATGTCCTTCCTGACACAACCCTGACTCAGGCCCGGGCCACAGCGGCGAAAGCTCTGTGCCCTAACCACTAGTCTATCAGGGAACTGTGTAAACTTAAAAATCAGGAAAAACACCACTCATTCTGAACTTGCAGCCAGGTTACCATTCATAGCACTAGGGCTTTGATAAAATCTACTCAGGACTGGTTGCAATTTAATTGTCTGATATAGTATTAATTGTGATTTCATTATGGAAGGTTTTTTAACTATTCTCTTGTGGCCTTTTCTTAATGTACTCATTTAAGTTGGTAGCTTTAATCTGTCTAATCTAAACTAACTTTGTTTTTATGAGTGCTAAAGTGACGTAGCAAGAGTTAGTGAGTTCTGTTTTCCCCCCTCCACATGTTATTAAACTTCATGTAAATGCATGCTGTTGTGGCACAGTCTGATGATTAACCTAAAAATACCTCCCATTTGGCAAGATAATGATATAATTGCCTGGAGGTTTAATATTAATGGCAGAGATCATATTTCAGAAGATTATAATGTGCAAACCAGAAACTGCTCAGTCAATATGCCTTCACCTGTCCAGGAATAAAAAGAAGATATTCAGCAGAAATCTGCATTTCCTGTGAATTCATTTGGCAGTAAAATCATTACCAATACTAGAGTGAATGTGATTATTACAGTGTCAAATTTGCAGCTAAAACACATACAGTAGTCTTTAATTTGGAACCTGCTGGGTATTTAAGACTCCAAACAAAACAGGGATAAATGTTGAACCACAACAAAAAATATCAAGGGCATTGAAATAACCAAAGGAGCCTAAAGAGAGGTAAATGTTTAACATGTTCTTCTTGACGCCAAGGTGAAGTGGAGTCGTTCTGTGCTGACCTGAGCGGGCGGGTGCATGTTAACACCGCGTTCCGCATGAGTGTAGACAAACTGCACGACCTGCTCTTCTCTGCCGACACACATTTCATCCAGCATCTCTTCTCTCAGCGACACTTTACTGGTAGGTAGAACACACACACACATACAATGATTAAAACTCTGTACTTCAGCAGCCTCTATGGACCTTAGCTTGTTGCGTAACATTAAGTGCAAGAGAGCAAGTTTTTCTTGTTGAGACAGTGACAGTTGGTGCTCATTGTTGCTTTTGTCAGAGTAAAAAACAGTCACTAACTGTTTGTCTGTTGTGTAGCACTTATCTGCCATTAAAATCAAGTGTACGTGCACTGCAGGTATGTATGTGTTGCCAAAGTGTTAATTATCCATGGAATTAAGAGAAGCACCAGTAAACAGTTGTGCTTGATATACTTAGATTGTGGAAACAGGTTTTTGGTGTTGCTTTTCCTTTTCATAGTAGTTCTGTTGCTCCAAGCTGCTGTCCACCATCTGGTAAATACAAATGTGATTAAACCCCCCACTCCACCCCTGAGACATGCTGTTTCCAGCTGTTTTGTGCTACTAATCAGGGTGCAATATTAGTGCTGTATGATGTGTTAACTTCCCTTTATCGTTAGTTAATAGTTTATTTGTCACTCCTTATGCCCTGTTTTCTAATTGTACTGCTACACGTATTGTTTGAATTGACAGACTTGCATTTGAAGCCATCTTTGCATAAAACGGTGTATATTTTGGATGTTTTTCTCTAGTTTTGAATGAGGATGGAGGTGGAGCTGTGATTTTGCCAGTGGCTACCCCAATCGGGAGGCCCAGCATGCTAGGGAACATTGTGTAGCTCTAATTGGGGTGTTGCTTTCTTTCTTCAGGAGAAAGGAGCGTGTATTGACTCACTCACTCTCTCTCTCTCTCTCTCTCTCTCTCTCCTCACCCCTTCTAAATCTCATGGTTTCTTTCTCTGTTTCATTCATAAATTATGAGCCTCTTGTGTCCTTTCACTTTCTCATTTTCACAAAACCACCCTTCACAAATCTTTGTGTCTGTTATTCTCTCTTGATCCTCTCACATCCTCTGTCTCTCTCTCAGACCTGTCGGTGGGTGAATGGCAGCTGGACAGCAGCAGTGGGAATACCAGTCGTGTGCTTAGTTACACCATTGCCCTCAACAACCCCCTCGGCCCCAAAACTGCCCCTGTGGTGGAGACACAGGTCAGTCCTTGACAAATACCAGCCTTTTTTTAGCTTCATTTTTGCCACACATGAATTAGACAGAAACTGGACATTAAACTGTGCGTATGTAGTCGTGCCAGGAAGTGATCTGGAGATTTTAAATTTGTTCTTTGTACTGTCTTAAGTTTTAGTCTCAATTAGGGTTCAAGTGCAGGTATCAGTGCTGAACGTGAAAAAAGGTTTTACACATCATGAAAACAAATGAAGAATTTCATTTAGATATTATGTATCTATAGTTTGTAAATGCCGTTACATCTGCTTGGACCAAATCATCGCTCCCATAAAATTAAACCTTGGATATAACTTCAAGTTACAAGATGGCATCATTATATTTAGTAGATTTTTTTTTTCCAGGATTAATTAATTAATCCCATTCTCTCTGGCACTTAGGTTAATTTCCTGGCTGTGGTGTTGGGCTGCTGTGTTTATACAGAGCAAAAACTGACTGTGTAACTGCTGTGACAGGGCAGTTTGATGTTGTATATGCAGTGGTAGTGTTTCTTTTGACAGTTTGTTACTAGTTGTAACATTGATTTAGTTTTCCCTGAAACACTCAGTTATTTACAGAGGATAGAAAACTTTAGTAACATACAGTCAAAGAATCTCTGACTAGCAGATGTGTCAGTTGATGGGTTTTGTCACATATCAGAGGAAACAAATGTTTTCATACCATTAACTATCCACCTCTACTGTTCTTCCTGCTTCCAGACGTTGCATAAGAGCAGCATCCGAGGTGAGTGCTACGTGGTGGACTCGGAGGTCATCACCTCAGGTATTCCCTACCAGGACTATTTCTATACTGTCCACAGATTCTGCCTCACCTCCATCAACGAGCACAAGAGCCGACTCAGGTTTGTTGTCTTACTGGGGAAATCCACGTGGGTGTTTTTCTTTGAGCTTCAGGCTTATGGGGACCACATTTAAATCAGAATAGTCACAAGTAGAGAACTGCAGATTACAGCCATGTTGATTGTGCAGCTACAAGAGCTCAGTGATTTTATGACGGATCCTCTCAGCTGTTGTGTCTGTTTAAAAGGGGATGTTATTTAATGCACTGATGATGTATGCTAAACAAAACATTCATTAAGAGATCTTTTACTTTCAGTGTAAAAAAAAAATCTTCCTTCAAACTTGCTTTTTAAGTGAAAAATGTATTACTGAAAGTTGTAGTGACAATTCATTTTGGTGTTACAGTTAACACTCTTAGAAGAAGGGATCTGACACATACCTTCCACTAATGATTTTTTTTTGTCAACCTAATATGAGGATTAACCGGAGCACCGCATGTTTATAGAAGCCAGTAACATTGGTGACAGTAGAGATGGGATATGTACAGTAACATAGCTGGTTTCATCAATCTGTTAAAGCAATGGCTTTCTGTCATCCTGACACAGATCACTTTTACATTAACGTTTGTCATGGCTTCATTCAGACATAGCCATGACAGTGGTAGAGAGAGCCACAGTGCATGCATGATATTCACCATAACCACAAGATTGGACAGTGCATTAAGTCACATATAATGTATGAGGCCAGCGTTTTCATTACTACAACATGGGTGAACCTGCGTCTTTGTCGTTTCTGGTGAACTGAAGAATGGAAGACACTGTCATGACGTTTACAGAATAGTGACCAGAGTGATCGTTCAGACATAAAGACGACATCTTCAGATGCCATCAGATTAATGCAAACAATTGCAAGTTCGAAAGGGGCCTAGGATGAGCGGAAGAGTACGTGTTTTCAAGTGTTAAAAAAAAAACAAAAAAACACGACATCCGAACCAAAGAACACCAAAATTCCATAACGGCTGCATAGCACAGATGCTACTTAACACACCTCTGTATGTTTCCTTGTTTACACATGTGCCTTCATTTTGCAGCATAATAAATGATGTAAGCTATAGTTGAGTGGCAAAATCCTCTTCCTTGGGGACTCTCACTGGTATATCAAACAATCCCATGAGAGTAGTTTCTTCTTTGTGTCATCTCATCTCCCTTGCTGCTCTCCTGCTTAAAAGGAAAAAGTCACTCAAACATTAAAAAGCCGCCAGCCAATGTTGCTTTCATTTCCAGACACTGTTAGGGTTAGGGTTAGCAATATAGGGCATGTTGGATTCTTCTTCACAAACAATATGAAGGTTTTTCCCCTTGTTCAGAACAATAAAATAAACAGGGTTGTTTGCTTTTCCTTTCCCCAGAATTTCCTCAAACATCTGCTACAGGAAGCAGCCGTGGAGCCTAGTGAAAGCATTGATTGAAAAGAATACCTGGAGTGGTATTGAGGAGCACTACAGACACATGGGTGAGTCACGTGGTCCGCCTCTACCAGCGTATCTCTGTACACACACAGTCTGTGGAAAGTGAATTGAGCTATTAAGGAACATAAGCGGAGCACAGCTGACATAAAGCCAAATGTTGCAGCATATGGTTCATGCGGTTCATTGTTTATGTACTTTATGTTTTTACAGGTAAAACTGACAATATCACAGTGGGGTGGGATGTTCTCTTTTGACAGATGACGGCTATTCAAACGAACAAAGTGACTTTAGTTATGTTTTGGTGTGCAGAGGATTTGCAAAACAAGCCTCAAAAATGTTCATTCACTTTGCCCCATGCAGAGAGCGAGGTGTGTAAGCTGGAAGCGCTGCTGCGGTCTGAAGTCACTGTGGTCACCACAGGTGAAGCAGTGGGTGCTGACGCTGCTAAGACCCCACCGGCCTTGCGCCGCCGCAAACGCACCTGCTCTAGGCGGCAGGGCGAGCGGGAGAGAGAGAGGGAGGTGGGAGGATTGGGCACCACAGACCAAGTGGGCAGAAGAGTTGGAGACAACAGGGACCGAAGAGAAGCCAGTAAGTCGGCCAGAAAAGGTATCCACACTAAAAACCTGCATCCATGTTCTATGTAATACTGCCCTCTAGTGGTTCTGTGCAGTCACTTTACATAAAGTGCAATATAGAGTAAAGGTCTTGGAAAAATCCTCAAACTCTTACTTTATATGAATTAGCAATATTTTTATTGGTTAATCCATTTGCCCATCTATTCATCCACTTTCAGCTGTTTATCCAGGTTTAGATTATGGTTAATGATTAATTATATTCAGAATTAATGACAAAAATGTGTTTTAAATAAACTGATATTTATTTCACATTGCATCAGAAATAATTCTAGGCCTGTTTTTATGGGTAGCTTTCATGCTTTAGGTGGTGTGACATTGAAACAGGTATTAAGTTGCATTTTATCTGGTATTAAAAATATCTTAAATAGTCTTAAATTTAACTTGGTGAACCCATGAGAAAAGTGCTGTTCATCAAATGCTTTGGTGTGTGAACGTTTGTTTGTGTTTTAGGTACTCAGTATATGAATCTGGGAGAGCGCGCACATGGTAGAGGACACAACAGTATATCTACTATCCTCCTCATAGTCAGCTTCATGTAAGTTCCAGTGTTGTGCTGTGTGTTTGTGGACTCTCTGAATCCCTGGTCTGAACTTCCCTTGTGGCTATTTTAATTCAAAATCATTTCCAGTATGTTTTATGTTTATACATTGATCATTTGAATTTTGTGAGGGGGGTTTTCACTAGTAATCTCACACACAAGGTACTCAGAACAGAGATGAGCATTTCTAAATCATGTTATTATATAAGAAAGGGATTTTGTGAGTGTGCAATTACTGAGTGAAAATCTGTCCACACATAAAAGCATGTGTGTCCTTGCATGTGGTTTTCTATATTGTGGGAATTTAGGGCATTTGATTGTATATTTTGATTATGGTAGCACTCTGCTGTCTTGGTTCTGTCCATGTCTGAGCACCTCACTCACACAATTAGATACCGATCTTGCATATTAACAGCCTCACGATACCTTTCTTGCTATTTCTCTTTTCCCCCCTCCTTTCTGCAATACTTCTTGTGCATAGGATCTGTATCAGGTTCGTATGAGAGGCTTTGATTTTATACAACTGGCTGCATAAACATGAGCTCTGAGGATAATCATTTTCTTGCAAGAAGAATCCACCATTTAAATCTGTCAGGGTTTGTCCAGATCGAATGTGAAGTGAATGTGGGTGCTTTCACGCAAAATTTGTTTCACATTTGTTTGCCACAAACATCCAAAGGACTGGACAGATGTTTGCCAACAACACACACCTCTACTCCATGTGTGTATGTGCCTTTACACATTCAGTCTGCCTTTAAGGTTTGCTTTGCATTCAGTCTGAAAACACCTGTTGTGTGTGATCTCTGTATATCAGGGCTGGTTTCCAGTGTCTTGTTTACTTTGTTGTTGTACCACATTTCCCTTAACCTGATTCATGTATCACCAGTTCAGTCAAAGGTTTCCTTATAGTTCCCAAAATGACTCACAACAACCCTCAAAGAATAAGTCTCAGTGTGTTTACCTGACAAGAATTGAGGCAGCATTGCATTCTGGTTTATGGTGTAGTTACTGCCAGTGGAGAAACTGTTTCATAAATGTGCCACTGTTGACTGTCAATGATGAGTCTAGAAAAAAGTAAAGGTGCACCAATTGATCGGCAGAGATGGAAATGGCTGGTTTTCAGTGCGATTGGCTTTGACCGGTGACCTGCTGATCACCCTGAGATTTCTGAGCCTGTGTCGATCAGATTTAGAGACACGACAGTCCACGTCAATGACACAGAGACACAGACCAGAAGCATAGCATGTGCAGTGCATAGTTTTTCACATGCACCTCGAGCGAGACTTGTGCTCGTGTCTGTACCGGGCGCATATTCATTTGTGTAGTGGAGGTGCTTGGTGAACAAAAAGCACACAGAGGAGGAAATTAGTGGCTACACATGAAATGCATGTATATGTACAGTGTGTCCAAACTGTGGTAAAACCCAGCAAATACCAACTACACACACTTTGTAAAGAACTGTGTGTTCAGTAGGACTGATGTAACAGACATTCTTCTGTTTCTATTACTTGTTGAACCTATTTATAACTTCATTTTTAGTTGGTTTGTAAAACAAAGAAGAAAAAAGTGAAAATGTAATACTTTAATACATTTTGTTTTTTGCCATTTAATTTTTTATTCAAGAAAAGTTGCAAAAATGTCTGTGGATGCTGACGATTACAGTTCTTAGAAAATAGGAATCAGTCAAAATTGGTAGGTCAGAGTTTTAAAAAATATGAAAGCGGAATTGGCCAAGAAAATTGCAATTGGTGCATCTGTAGGAAAAAGTCTTCATTCTGCAGTGAAACTGGCGCCAAGGTCACATCACCTAAATCTGAGCCAAACACAGCCCAGGAATGCAACGTGTGTGTATCAGTAGTAGTTTGTAACGCTAATGTTGGTGTCAAGGTGGATTTTTCATGTAACAAAATGACAGTGTGTTATCTTAGGACCTGGGTCAAGAGTGAACCCTTCAATATTTATGTCCTCTCATGTTTTTCTGTTTGTCTTGGCATTTTGCTGTTTATATCTCACTGAGGTTCTCTCACTAATTCATTGAAGCTTTTTTTTTTTTCCTTTTTACTATTTGTGTGCATTTTCATGCCAGACCAAAAATTATGCTCTTATCTTTCTGTCCCGGTCAGTCTGGTGGTGCTGGTGGCTCTCAACATGCTGCTGTTCTATAAACTCTATGCTCTAGAGAGAGCGGCCCATACACTGGAAACATGGCACTCCTATTCTGTTGCTGACAGGTAAATACACCGCACTGTTTTTCACACTGACACAGGCACTTGTTATCTCCATTCCTCACCCAGCGGGACTGTGTTGTTAATTGGTGTTTGGTCCCAGGCTTGTGGAGTTATTCCTCTGGGATCTGAGGTCTGTAATGTCCCTTTGAGTTTTCAGTTATTGCATAGCAACAAGTATTCCCTTGCCTTTTCAAGGTACGTAGATGAAAATTACCTTAAAACAGCTTTAATCAATGTTTTTTTAACAGTAGAGCACATTAATTCTTGTTTGCAGAAGAGGTGAATCCAAAGAGAAAGCAGCTTTTGACATCTTTTAGTTCAGTATTTAGGATTTCTGACCGGCACCTTTAGTGTTTTAGCTTGCTTTCGCTGCTTTCAACAGTGTGTTTGGGTCACCGCCTACTCGGCAGCAAACGGCACAGAACAATTAGACAGACACGGTGACTAGCTGATGAACATAGTGGACCATTTGCCAACTAAGAAAACCAGGTGATTCCCTCGGGTTTGTTGAGGGCAAGCTAGAACTAAAAGGAACTCTGGTATTGCACTTGCATTTATCAGGCGGGCACGAACATGACTCTAAATGAATGATAATGTTCTTTTGTTTCTGCTGGATATGTAAATATGCAGCTGTTTACTAACAGGTCTGTTGCATGAACTTAAAGGTTATGATACAGTATAGATCACAACTGAGTGCACACTTGGTCAGTTCATTAAAATGTTGTCACAGGTGTTTTCACTTTTGTTGCCCTGAGTTTGTACTTTGGGGTCTGAATATTCGTTGTACTCTGTGTAATCTGTTTGAATTTACAGATAATTGAAAACAAATATTCTAGCTTAAAAGTAATACAGTTATTGTAAAATGGAACATTTTAATTCTATTGCACAGCCTGTACTCAGTTTTGTTGAGTAGTGTTGTTTGCAGCTTACCAAGTCTTAAACGGGTCTTAAACCTGCACCCTAATGCAGGTTTAAGACCTGTGAGTATGCTACTGACTGTAGACTTTTTAATGGTTTTAATGGTCTCCATTCTGCTTGCCTTCCTCTTTCCACCTTCCCCTCTTTGTCTCCACTCCCCTGTTTTACTCCTCTCCCCAGTCCTTTGCCCCAGACAGCTGGAGAGTGGGCTCAGGTCTTGCAGCTCCAGAGGCAGTTTCACCAGGCTCAGCTCAGCAAGTGGCAGCAGATCCTGCAGTCCTCTGTAACACTCCTTGACCAGGTGTGTGTGTGTGTGTGTGTGTGTGTGTGTGTGTGCGTATTTCTGTTTAATTTATTACTCTGTGAAATAAAACACTCATAGTGCCGGTCTACAGGGATACCATTGTTTTAATGTGTCACACAAGCTGCTTGTGCTCATCATATGCTGGATGTTGTCACTGCATTATGTAACCCAGTCTACCTGACTCAATATTCCCTTCGAATGCTCTCTCTCTCTCTCTCTCTCACCCCCCCACCACCAACCCTACTGTTGTTTATCTCCCAGATGAAGCAGTCTTTAGAAAAGCTCCACCAGGGCATCGTGGTCCCAGAGGCACAGCAGCACTCCACTGACACCCTCTCAGAGTCCCTTACTGAAGCCTGAAGAAATGGTATACTGATGAAATACAGTCCATTTACTGGTATAACAACAACTGATCTGTGACTCCTTGATCTGTTCAGACCATCCACTGTCCGAGGATCACAGAGACATTTCATATTGGATTGTATTCCAGAATCATTTTACCTCTGACCTCCCAATTCTTCGACTATCACAGACTTAAGTTCCTCTTGTGACCTGCAACATTTCATAGATTCTGGAAGGTGGTAGCTGGGAACAGTTAGATGCATTTGCCTCTAGTAAATGCCTGCTGAAATAAAAAGAGGGGACACTACTCTCTGAAAGAAAGGAGGAGACAAGGGGAGCACTGACAGGTGCAGGATGACTCTCGCTTTTTCCTTCAGGAGTTTGCTGCTCTTTCATGTTTGAATTGAGCCCCGCCAAATGCTGACAGTCCTCTGCAAAAGACGATGAGGAACATTTCAGCACCAGACACTTTAGGTTTCACCCTAATTTTTAGACATGATATGGAAATGTATCCCAAACACACTCCCACTCTTTGCGGCCCTGTCTGGGTTTTATCTTTCTTGGAAATCAGTATGTTGGGTTGTTTGTCAGGACAGCAAACAGTTTCTTAGACCATTACAGTATTTATTATTACCAGTAACTTTTGATCTGAAGTCCTGTCCTGCTCTTAAGAAGTCATGTGGTGGGTATGTGTGCTCTGATTTTCTGTCGCAGTTTGGACCAACAGGAGCTACACAAGAACGATTACTGGTCACAGCAATAATGGCATTAGTGATTCTAGTACTTTTTGAGTATTTCAAAGTAGTATATAATAATTATAATGATGAGGTTGATGGTGCATTGTGTGTGTGTGTGTGTGTGTGTGTAGAAGCAGTGGGAAAAAATAAGCAAAGAAAATTTTGGATTAACAACACTGTGCATGATTGTGAAGGCTTCAATGTTAGTGTTTCTTTTTTGGGTTTTCTCTTTCATATTTGGTTGCTCACTCTTTGCATCACAGAGTCAGACCTTAACGGTTCAGGATTTAGACTTGATCAGGTAAGAAACCTGAAGTATCGGAGCAGGAAGCTTCTGCTGGGTTAGACATTTCAAATCAGAAGGACCAACCAGTTTTATAAGCCCAAGTGAAGGAAAAGGGAACCTGTTGTGCAGTATTTGTGTTTGTAAGATCAATTTGACTCACTTATTTTTTCATTTAACATTTAATTCCTTTGTCATTTTCTGTCTTTATTTCTTTGTTTTCATCCTCTCTTCTCTATCCTGTGGCCTCTGAAGTAAAAAACATCACCCGCCTGTACACCCTCTTTTTATTCTTTTACTTATCACTCAGCCCTGCTTTTCCTCTGTGCTCGCTCTCCCCCTTCACCCACTCACTTACTCTGTTCCTCTGAAAATGGTGGCTACAGAAGCATGTGGGCTCTGCTGTGCATGGCCCGCCACGGGTAACAGAAAGATGTAATATTTGGTTGTCTCCAGTGCAAGAGAGCTGAAGGAGGAGCAGGGATGAGAATGTACTGTAAAGATGAGACTGTACACCCACACCATGGAGAGAAATGAAAAGTTCTAAAACACCCAACAACTTGTGTTTGAGTCTGTCTTTACCTTCAAACGTACTTAGGTCAAATAAGGCTGCAACAAACCATTATTGTCATTATTGTACTTATCGTTTCGCCCATAAAATTTCAGAGAAGTTCAACAAAACTGTGATATGTTGTCCAACCAAAATATTCAGCTTAATATTACAGAAGGAAAAGTAAGCCAGCAAAAAAAAAAAACACGTTTGAGATGCTGGAACCAGGGAGTTTTTCTGGAGTTTTGCTTAAAAATGTACTTTACAATTGATCAACATGAAAAAAAATTTCTGCCAATTCATTAAAAGATTGTTTCTTAACAGCGCAATCCGTGGCAGTAAAAATCAAGTGTCTCCAACAGTAAGATTTATCAGACACCACTGACACATTTCTTATTTACAGAATGACTTGCCGAACGACCTTTAACACAAGGCTACGACTGATGATTATCAGTGTCATTTAATTTTCCCCCAAGCTAACTCTTTCTCTTTCGCCGCTGCAGCCATGTTTTTGTTGTTTTTTTTTTTTTTACCAACAGTCAGAAACCCAGATTTTCAGTTAACTATCATCTCTGACAAATAACAGCACTAACTGCTCACAATGGAGAAATGTTTGGTGTTGTTGCTTTGTGAAACAATGAAAGGATGATTTCACTGATAGTGAAATGTTTGATTCCATAAGCAACACACAGGTCAGATAAAGGAAGGTGATTTTAATCAGCATGTCCTTGATTTTATTTCACAGTTAAATTGCTAAACATTTTTATTAGGAGATCGCTTTGTGCAACAGAAATCTTATTGGAACAAGAGTACTGTGTTCAAGTTATTCTAGTTTTGTGGACATGTGTTCATTCTGTGTTGACATTTCTCAGTCAGGAAAGACAAGTCTCTCTGATCACAAGAAGCCATGACCACTGCAGGGTTATGGCCCTTGTGCAAAAACCACTTGGCCATTATGTGTTTCTGTTTTAGTAGAATTAGTTTACAGACCGTTCTTCTAAGAGCATTAGCAAAATGCCTGAATACACTGAGGTCATTTCCTTAGTGCTTTTCATGGGGAATGATTTTTTTCTTACCTTGGAAAAATTGAGTTAAGAAATTGCACCTAGTGACTCAGTATATTTGAATTTGACCACTGCTGATCTGGGAAAAAAAAAACATCAAAATTGTTTGTGTGGAGAAGGGCTAGTGACCAGGTTCAAGCCTCTGTACCGGGAATAAAATTATAGATTTTACTGTAAAATGGAAAAAGAAAAAACTTCTAAAAATGAGGATGAAAATGCATTTGGCTTAATACAGCCCAATACGCCACTGTATATCAACCGACATCTGCCATTCACTTCACTGGTTGGTTCATCTTTGCAGAACAAGGCATTTAGATGACAAAAACAAATGCTTACCCAAAAAGTACATTGCTTAGTAAGCAGTGTCAGAGTTTCTTGAATAGCCCACTGGTTGGTTCATCTGTGCGGAACAAGGCATTTAGATGACAAAAACAAATGCTTACCCAAAAAGTACAATGCTTAGTAAGCAGTGTCAGAGTTTCTCGAATAGCCTTAAAGAGAAAAAAATGTAACAGTGAGCGTCCAGTAATTCTGTATTAATTTATCAGTTCGTGTGGTGCAAGTGCCTTCTCTCGGCAGTGTTTGGCTGCCATCTAGTGTTCATCAGTGCTCAATAGCAGACTGTCTTGAAAGAGAAGCAACTACAGATGCTTATTTCTTTCCATTTTACAAGCACAAAAGATTTGTAATGCGCTTCAGTTCTACCCTTGTGGTTTCCACTGGCTTCTCTACAGGAGGCACACCGGACAGGTTTTGTGGTACATTTGCCCACAGTAGTTTCTGAAGATATTAGCAGTTGGCCGAGCCCTTAGTTCTACAGAAACGCTAAGACCTTAGTGTGAATTTGCACATCAGTGGAAGTTTTCACTACAGACCAATTCGACTGGAAGTGACGCTTTCACATCACGCCTCCAGATAACTGGTAAAGCTGCACGCTTGTTCTTTTGGTGTGATACATACAGTGAGGAACAGAAGTATTTGAACACCCTGCGATTTTACAAGTTCTCCCACTTAGAAATCATGGAGGGGTCTGAAATTCACATTGTAGGTGCATTCCCACTCTGAGAGACAGAATTAAAAAAAAATTTCAGGAAATCACATTGTATGATTTTTAAAGAATTTATTTGTCTTGCACTGCTGAACATAAGTATTTGAACACCTGAGAAAATCAGTGTTAATATTTGGTACAGAAACTTTTGTTTGCAATTATAGAGGTCAAATGTTTCCTGTAGCTCTTGACCAGGTTTGCACACACTGCAACAGGGATTTTGGCCCACTCCTCCACACAGATCTCCTCTAGATCTGTCAGGTTTCGGGGCTGTCGCTGAGCAACGCGGAGTTGAAGCTCCCTCCAAAGATGTTGTATTGGATTGAGGTCTGGAGACTGGCTAGGCCACTCCAGAACCTTGATATGCTTCTTACGGAGCCACTCCTTGGTTATCCTGGCTGTGTGCTGCGGGTCGTTGTCATGTTGGAAGACCCAGCCACGACCCATCTTCAATGCTCTGATTGAGGGAAGGAGGTTGTTGCTCAAAATCTCACAATAAATGGCCCCATTCATCCTCTCCTTAATACAGTGCAGACGTCCTGTCCCCTTCGCAGAAAAGCACCCCCAAAGCATGATGTTACCACCCCCATGCTTCACAGTAGGGATGGTGTTCTTGGGATGCAACTCATCCTTCTTTTTCCTCCAAACACGACGAGTGAAGTTTAGACCAAAAAGTTCTACTTTGGTCTCATCTGACCACATGACTTTCTCCCATGCCTCCTCTGGATCATCCAGATGGTCTTTGGCAAACTTCAGATGGGCCTGGACATGTGATGACTTGAGCAGGGGAACCTTCCGTGCAATGCATGATTTGAAACCATGACGGCGTAGTGTTCTACCGACAGTGACCTTTGAAACTGTGGTCCCAGCTCTCTTCATGTCATTGACCAGCTCCTTCCTTGTAGTTCTGGGCTGATTCCTCACCTTTCTTATCATCAGTGATACCCCACGAGGTGAGATCTTGCATGGCGCCCGAGTCCGAGGGAGACTGACAGTCGTCTTTAGCCTCTTCCATTTTCTAACAATTGCTCCAACAGTTGATCTATTTTCACCAAGCTTTTGCCCCCGTAGCCCTTTCCAGCCTTGTGGAGGTCCACAGTTTTGTCTCTGGTGTCTTTTGACAGCTCTTTGGTCTTGCCCATGGTAGTAGTTGGCGTCTGACTGACTGTGGGGTGGACAGGTGTCTTTAAAGAGCTCAGACAGGTGCTACTAATTTAGATTAATGAGTGGAGTAGAGGTGGACTTTTTCAAGGCACAGTAACAGGTCTTTGAGAGCCAGAATTCTTGCTGTTTCTCAGGTGTTCAAATACTTATGTTCAGCAGTGCAAGACAAATAAATTCTTTAAAAATCATACAATGTGATTTCCTGAAATTTTTTTTTTAATTCTGTCTCTCAGAGTGGGAATGCACCTACAATGTGAATTTCAGACCCCTCCATGATTTCTAAGTGGGAGAACTTGTAAAATCGCAGGGTGTTCAAATACTTCTGTTCCTCATTGTAACTGGTCTGGTGTAATAAAGTGTCACAGGAAGTGACACTGTAGTCCCAGATGCCATTTTAGTGAGAGGTTTTCACTGTGCTAAAACTTGTAGGCAGCTTTAAGGAGCAAATTAAATTCAGCGGTGGACCTGCTACTTGAAACAGCCCATTTAAAACTGCATGATCATATTTTAATTGAAAGGGAACTCAACTGAAATCTAGCTTTAGATTGCTGTTGCACAAAAACATCTTTATAGCTGGTTTTTGCATTCTGAGCTCACGGGATCAAGGGAAACAGTTAAAAACATCATTGTGCTGTTTCAGAATTTAACATAAAACTGGGTCTTGCCTCAGTTGCTTGCCCGGCCCAGAATAACACATTAAAACATGACTGGTGCTGTGTTTTTTATAGAGGTGAACCCAGAATGTACACTGCCTGATGATTGCACTTTCCTTCATTTGAGAGCGAATCATTCAAAACTCTGAGAACACTTGAAATTTTAATCAGCTGTCCTCCAGGGAGGAGCCTAAACATTTATGCATTTAATCCAGAAAACATGTCTGTTGGTGAGCAGATATGTGAAGGTGGTGGGTGATCACGCTCCTGTTGAGTCATATTTAGATTTGTGACTTTTTCCACCAGACATGAAGCAGTCATGAATCACCGATCTCCCACTCCACAAGTGACAGTTCATCTCATGTGGTCGCATCTGCTCAGTTAAAATCTGCTCTCAATTTTGTATGTTAAACTTGACAAAGGAAATTTAAGGGATCAACTGTGTTGTTGGTTTGAGTTTGATAGTTTACGTACTGACGGAGCTGCTAAGACTGTTCAGGGGTCTCCTTGAAGTTTAGATATTGATGTGTGATCTCCTCTGATCAACCTGCAGTGAACATATTTTCTTTGTATTTTTAATTTATTGTGCCCCATTTTGACTAAATGCTGAAATGATTCTAGGGGAAAATAACAAATATTTGTAATGTTTTGCCATTTAAACAGGTCTAAATGAAACACTGAACATCAGAACACAATATCAGCTATTGTACCAGTATTTCCTCTGTTGGATTTAGCTGCATTCACAACACAACAGCAGGAAAATTAGCTGTTATATATATATAGTCCTACTTTATTTTTAAAAAATATATTTCATGTCTTTTTGTTATTAAATGTTTTGATTGTTGTAGCATTAAACCAGTTTTTATTTGCACCACAGCTTTAACAAACCTGCAGAAGAAACACTGAAATACCTTTGGTTAATTTTTTTTTCTTTCCACAGTTATAGCTCATATTGGTCAAACCCCTATCTCAACACACGGTGTGTAATGAAATATGACAAAACTAATTTAAAACTCATAAGCATGTCAGTTGTTTTGATACACTCATAAACATGCAAGTTGTGACCACAATCTTATAGGACTGTATATATACAGGTGCTGGTCATATAATTAGAATATCATCAAAAAGTTGATTTATTTCACTAATTCCATTCAAAAAGTGAAACTTGTATATCATATTCATTCATTACACACAGACTGATATATTTCAAATGTTTATTTCTTTTAATTGTGATGATTATAACTGACAACTAATGAAAACCCCAAATTTGGTATCTCAGAAAATTAGAATATTGTGAAAAGGTTCAGTATTGAAGACACCTGGTGCCACACTCTAATCAGCTATTTGACTCAAAACACCTGCAAAGGCCTTTAAATGGTGTCTCAGTCTAGTTCTGTAGGCTACACAATCATGGGGAAGACTGCTGACCTGACAGTTGTCCAAAAGACCACCATTGACACCTTGCACAAGGAGGGCAAGACACAAAAGGTCATTGCAGAAGAGGCTGGCTGTTCACAGAGCTCTGTGTCCAAGCACATTAATAGAGAGGCGAAGGGAAGGAAAAGATGTGGTAGAAAAAAGTGTACAAGCAATAGGGATAACCGCACCCTGGAGAGGATTGTGAAACAAAACCGATTCAAAAATGTGGGGGAGATTCACAAAGAGTGGACTGCAGCTGGAGTCAGTGCTTCCAGAACCACTACGCACAGACGTATGAAAGACATGGGTTTCAGCTGTCGCATTCCTTGTGTCAAGCCACTCTTGAACAACAGACAGCGTCAGAAGCGTCTC